GGCTCCGGCGATCCTTCCACCTCAGCCTTCCAAGTAGCCAAACTACAGGCGCACGCTACCAACCCAGTTAATTTTGATTTATTGTAGAAAGAAGTTTGCCTGGGGGGGTCGAACCCACAGGCTCAGGCAATCTACTCGCCTCTTCTTCCCAAAGTGCTGGGATTACAGGCTGAGCCACTGAGCCCAGCCCCATTCACCCATTATTATTATTGATTTCTAGTTCTTTTTTTTTTCTTTTTTTTTTAGCTGGAGTCTCACTCTGTCACCCAGACGGGAGTGCAGTGGCACGTTCCAGGCCACCGCAGTCTGGGCTCCGGCGATCCTTCTGCCTCAACCTTCCAAGTAGCTGGAACTACAGGCAGACACTACCATGCCCAGCTAAATTTTTGATTTATTGTAGAGACAAGGTCTCACCAAGTTTCCCAGGCTAGTCTCCAACCCCTGAGCTCAGGCAATCCTCTCGCCTCGGCCTCCCAAAGACCTGGGATTACAGGTTTGAGCCACTACACCCGATGATTTCTATTTCTTTATTATAATCATACTAAATGTGTGCTAATAATATTATTAATACTTCTTTCCAATTTGGACCTTATGTTTTAAATTTGTTTATAGACTCCTGTATCCAGAAATTTTAAATTGTAATGTGGTCAAATCTGTCACCATTTCATTTGCAGGGGAGAAAATCTTTTCCTCACCTATTGAAAAGGCTATGGCTGACAACCCTGTAACAATCAGATTTATGTGAGAAAGGCATAACAAATGTATTCAAAGTTTTGTGTGACACAGGAGCCTTCAGAAATGAAGACCCAACGACCTAGGGAAAACTGCATTTTATTTTTTTTCAGTTAGAGTCTCACTCTGTCGCCTAGGCTGGAGTGCAGTGGCACGCTCATGGTCACCGCAGCCTCAACCTGCTGGGCTTAGGTGATCCTTCTGCCTTAGCCTTCAAGTAGCTGGAACTACAGGCATGTGCCACCATGCCTGGCTAATTTTTTGATTTATTGTAGAGACGAGGTCTCACCAAGTTGCTCAGGATGGTCTTGAACCTGTGGGCTCAGGCAATCCTCTTACCTCAACCTTCCAAAGTGCTGGAATTAGAGGCATGAGCCACCGCACCCGGTCAAAACTGCATTGCTATGCTAAGTCTTATGACATAAGTGGATAGTTTGTGGAGAAACATGATTGGACAAAAAGGGATATGATTTAGAGGCAATTAACGAAGGGGGCGGGGTGGGGGGACTTCAACAAGACTTGTTTATTGAGCTTTTTTTCTGTCTCTCTATGACATTCCTTCTCCCTAGATATGGGGCAGGACTCCTCTAAAATGAGGGTCTTATGATCTACTTTCAGGTGAGGTAGGTCAGTGAATTCCTTCATGATCATGTTTCAGGGAAGAAAAGCTGGAGTAGATCATAGTGACCTTTTTACTTCTGTGGTTTTTTCCATTGCCAGGGTGCCATATTTTGGCACATTAAGGGATTTTAATCCTTGCGTCTTAAGAATGACATTCAAATTCTAAGCTGTTACTAATCTTAACGTTTCTTAATTTTTATCATCAAATGTTTATTTTACATTTTCACAGTTTTTTATTTTTGGTAGGGTCTCAGTCTGTTGCACAAGCTGGAGTGCAGTGGCACATCATGGCTCACTGAGGCCTCAACCTCCTGAGCTTAGGTGATTGTTCCGCTTCAGTCTCTTGAATAGCTGGTACTATAGCCCTGCACCACCACACTTGACTAATTTTTTATAGAGTCAAGGTCTTGCTATGTTGCCCAGGCTGGTCTTGAACTCCTGGGCTCAAGTGATCCTCCTGCCTTGGCCTCCCAAAATGCTGGGATTACAGATATAAGCCACTGCGCCCAGCCTGTTTTCTTAAAGTTAGTTCCCTATTTAAAATGATATGGTGTTTTCCTACCTTTAGTCTGTTAGTTTGACATATTTCCTTACCTTAAAACATTGCCTTGCATTTAGCCAGGCATAAATTCTGCTTGGTCAATATTCTTTTACTATATTGCTTGATTCGGTTCTCTAATATTTTATTTGAACTTTGCATCTGTTCATGAACGAAATGAGCTTTGGTCTTCTTTTCATCAATGGTTCTTGGTTGTTTTTCTTTTTTTTTTTTTTGAGTTGGAGTCTTACTCTGTCTCCCAGGCTGGAGTGCAATGACATGCTTATGGCCACCCCAGCATCAATCAGTTGGGCTCAGGCGATCCTTCCACCTCAGCCTTCCAAGTAGCCAGAACTACAGGTGTGCACTACCATGCCTGGCTAGTTTTTGAGTTATTGTAGAGATGATGTCTGGCCAAGTTGCCCAGGCTGTTCTTGAACCCGTGGGTTCAGGCAATCCCCTCACCTTGGCCTCCCAAAGTGCTGGGATTACAGGCTTGAGCCACCGCAGCCGGCCTTGATCAGTTTTCTTAAAATATTTGGGTTAAGCTGGGTTCGGGTGGCTCAGCCTGTAATCCTGCGCCTTTGGGAGGCTGAGGCTGAGGTGAGTGGATTGCCTGAGCCCGCGGGTTCAAGACCCGCCTGGGTAGCGAGACCTCATCTCTACAATAAATCAAAAAATCAGCCGGGCATGATAGCGCGTGCCTGTAATTCCGGCTACTTGGAAGGCTGAGGTAGAAGGATCGCCGGAGCCCAGCAGGTCGAGGTTGCGGTGGCCAGGAGTGGCCACTGCACTCCAGTCTGGGCGACAGAGTGAGACTCCAACTCAAAAAAAAAATATTTGGGTTAGTTTTGTAAGTTAGGTAAAAATGTGATGAGGTACCAAATCTAAAATATGTAGGCAAATTATCTTTTTTATTCTCCTTTCTTTCCAATTTAGGTCTTCCTGAAGCTAGGATCAAGCCAGGGTTCTTTACTCAGGACCACCCTTCCCTATCTCCCAAACACACAAATATCTCAAAGTGCCATTTTCCAAGCCCCAATGTGGGGCTAACTCCCAGGGTTTTGATCCTTCTGCTGGACCTAATGATGCTAATGGTGGTCCAACTCAAAGAAACCAACAGACAGTACTAAGTGATTGGGAAAATTCATGGCCTTAATTTCGTTAAATGTAAAATGTAACCATTGATAACTAAGTCACAAATTTGTAGAAAGTCACCATAAAATGTATGAAAAAGCAGCCAGGGCACTGCATTGCATAAAATAAGTATTAATGTATTTTACCTAAAATGATTACCACTATTATTACCAGGAGAAGGGGTGCTCCTACCCTCGTGGGACGGGTAGATGACTGGATTCTTGTGTTCACATTTGCTAAGAATTCACAAACACATGGAGAAGTTGAATAAGCAAGTAGCTTTACTAAACAAAGAAGAGTACACACTCAAGAGAGGAGAGTGGGCAGAAACAGCCTAAAGAAAGCTGCAGCTTCTGCTCCCAACTATTGTTAAACTACAACTTTTAGCCGGGCTCAGTGGCTCAGCCTGTAATCCCAACGCTTTGGGAGACTGAGATGAGTGGATTGCTTGAGCCCGCGGGTTCGAGACCCGCCTGGGCAACTTGGTGAGACCTCA